GCGGTGAGGTAAGTGGACGGCTGCTCACGGCGCGCCCGGGAAGCGCCCCGGTTGAAGTAGACGAACCCGCAGTTGAGGCTCTGAGACCCGTCGTCGTTGCGAGTGATGATCACGTCTTGGTGCACCATCGGCGGCGAATGCAGCCGCGAGTAGATGTCGCCCAGCAGCACCGCGTCCACGTCCAGCGAGAGGATGTTGAGCCCCTCCCGCATCAGCTTGAGCGATACCCACCAGCGCGTGGCCCAGAAGATGTAGACCTGGTGCATCTTGTCGGGGTGGTTTGCGCGTGTCCACTGCGCCCAGCCAGAGTGCTGCTTGGGATACGAGGAATAGGCACACGACAGGGGCGCCTCGCTGTACGATGACACCATCTTTTCCCACTGCGCGTGCATCCCGGCACAGTTGTCCGCGGAGTCGGCCATGATCAGCCAGTGCTCGTGGCCGCGTCTGCGCAGCTGGTTGACAAAGTGGAAGCCCCAGCCGGCCATGTTCTCGTCGGCAGTGAAGAGGATGAGCTCGCCCCGATACCCACGAGTTTTCGCGACACGCGCCGGCACCCCAGCCGCTGCGATGTCGAGCGCCTCGCGCGGCAGCGGGCTGAGCTGTCCCACACTCTGAAATGCCGCGCTCATTGTGGAGCGAGACGCGAACGGCAACCCGCGCCGCCGAGCAAAATCGCGAGTAGAATTTTACGCGGAAAGAATTTTTGAGAGCGCCTTCGTTGTTAATAGTACAAACCCAATGGTCCTCTGCGAGCGGTCCTTCGTTGCAGACGCACACACGCACACGCCACGCCGCACCGCGCGCCCGCCCACCGCCCCGCCCAGGCGGGAAAGAGGTGGGGAGATGGGACAGCGAAGGAGGAGTACGAGCACGTATGGGAGGGTTCAGTAATGCGCCACGCTGCCCGGCGTTTCTCACTTTCCGGGACAGCCCCGCCCTTGTGAGGCAGGAAAGTGACGGCTACCCCGTACGCGCCTGCTGCTCTACTCGTCGCCGACCGCCCATTCCCCCCTCCTCGTTCCCCCCTCGAATGCTCCGGACCCCGACAAGCCGCCCGACGTTGGGCCTCTGCCCCGCACGCCCCCGCCCCTCGCTCACACCCCGGCCCGACACGCACTCTGCCCCGCACGCCCCCGCCCCTTCTGCCCCTCGCCCACACCCCGGCCCGACACGCACATACAAGACAAACCCGGCGTCCTGCTCTCCAAAGAAAAAGAAATAAGGCAATGAGGAGACCAGCGGGGGAGACTCCCCGCCTATGCAAGCCCCAGAGAGGGGCCGCCATCGCCGAAGCTGTGCCAAAGCATAACTCCAAAACCCGCAGCGGCCCAGGAGGCCTTGGGGGCAGCCTGCCGGACCGCCGCTGCACGGGGCTAGGCACCAGAAGACGAGTGGAATTGATGGATTGGGCTGGTGTCCGTGCCTCCCCTCTATACGTCAGAGTGGGACCTACGCCGCGCCGGGTAAGGGGCGCGCCCGGTCCTCGACGGAGCCGCGCGCCCCAAACGACCCAGGCGGTGAGTAGTCGTCCTCGAACCTTCGACTTGTAGTCGCCCGTGGTTAGCGCCCCTCCTCCCTCGCCCGTCCCTACTCGTACTGCTCTCGGGGCGCCCGCGGCATCTCGCCGCCCATCTTTGGCCACGCGTTGTAGTCGAAGATGGCGGCGTTGCGCCTCGCGACGATGGCCGAGTGCACTTGCAGGAAGCGCTTGCGCTCGCTACTGACCCGCCATCGTTCGCTGTCGGAGGACGCCTTAGCGGCCTTGATGTCGAAGTTGGTGTTGAACCACGTCGCCGCCTCGTGCCCGATGCCGCCGCGCGTGCTCGCCGCCCACGTCATAAAGTCGCAGTTTTTGGCGTCGCACGCCGCTGCCTTGGCCTTCCGCTTCGTCTCCTCGGCGTAGTCGGTGGCTAGGCGCTTGCCGCTCGCCAGCGGGCGCAGCCTGTCATGGTGCACCGCGGTGACGCACGTGCCGTCGTACACCACGGCGCGTGCCGACTCTGCATAGTTGCCGAAGACGCCGTCGCCCCGCTGGTACGGGTTGTGTCCGGATCGTGCGCCCG